TGAGCCTAGGTTTACTTTTTTTTCAAAGTGGGAATGATAGCATTTCCTTTGTAGCTGTTGTCAGAATCAAATGAGTCAGCTTGGGTTGGATAGCCATCCTGAGCTTGGCACTAAGAGGAACTAGAAAACATGGCAGCTGCAGGTCCTACCCTCTTTCCTGCTCCCCATTAGGCAGGGTCTCCTCTGGGGCAGACGACCTGCTAGAGTGCTAGTTGCAGTTTTTCCTTGTATGTCCCCCCTTGTTGAGAGCAGAAGTGGTGAATCCTGCTAGAAGAAACTGACTTCAAACAATTCTTACTATGTTTTAAGGGTGTCAGCATGGAAGCCATGAATGAAAATAAAATGGTGTCCTCTGAGTTTAGCACAGGACCAGTGGAAAAAGCTGGAAAACCTTTGCCGTTTAAGGATCCTAACTTTGTGGTAAGTTTCTAAGGCATTATATTCATAAACAAACAAACAAACAACAACAACAAAAAAACAATCACACGTTGGCTACTGATCATGCTGGGCCTGCAGCTTTGGTGCCTCTGGTGTCCCCATCTTGAGTCTAAGTTGCAACCTTTTCCCCATGGGCTGTTATGGGAGGGAAGGGGCAGGATAAGAAGGATCCTTCCTGTGGATCTTCTACTTTGCCAGACCCTAAGAACTTTGGTACCTTTGTGGAATTCATTAAAGGATAACATTTTGAGGGTGGGTCATTCCCATGATGATTGCTTCCCTTCCCTTTTTATTGGTCTTACATTAGTTTCAGGTAAGGCTTGAAATATTTAACTGAAAGAAGACTGTTCCTCATTAGTTTCTTAAATAAATCTAAGTAGAAATGGGCACTTTTTCTTTCATTCTTGAGGGATATAGTAACATGTTGACTCAAAGATTTGGATTACACTCTTAAGTTTATTTTTTATGAATGAGTTTTGTAAATACAGTGTTACTAGTGTCACAAATATTTTGGTAGTTTTTTTCCATTTTATTTTGTAATCTTCATAGGACCAAAAAAAGAGAGAGATTTCCAGAAGGCTTGCCATGCCACAATTGAGACTTACTCAAGTTTTCCAGGATTACTAGTAATTTGGAAGGCAGAGACTTGCCCTCAGAAGGGAGTTTAGAGATTCAGTCATGAGATTAAATCTAACTTTGTAGTAAATTTATTTTAAGGTGATCAAGTCATGAGTGAATTCTGCAAAGTTAGACCCAATAAAAGATTTGATTTTTTGTGTGCATATAAAAACATAACCTTTTATTTCTATTCTATCACCAGCTAACTCGTACATTTTGACAGTCCAAATTTTCATTTGTTCAAATTAAAATGAGAGTATACAATGAAGTACTTTTTAAAAAGGTCTCAGGGTACAAATTATTGGTGATAGAATGAAAGGTACTTAACAGTTATGATAGCATAAATGTCAGATTCTCATAGTAGTCTCCGTTGATTTTTGTTTTTTCTAACCCATGCTTTTAACTTGAGCACTCTGGCCATGGTGGTGCAGTAGCTGGCAAGAAGAACAGAACCTGGAAGAACCTGAAACAAATTCTCGCTGCCGAAAGGGCATTGCCGTGGCAACTGAATGATCCTAACTGTGAGCTGTCTAGAGTCTTCCATGTGATTATAATGCTCAGACTAGGAACTTCCTTACGACAGACCTGTGTTATTTTATTGTGTTTGCATTATTGTAGGAAATTGTTTTTAGCTTGAAAATTTTATAGTGGCATTGATCTAGGAATATTATGTGTGTATTACCTGTGAACTGTGTCTGTGTTGAACCTGTTTGTGTTGTCTTAGGTTAGGGTTAGTGTCATTATTAACATTTCAGTTTGAGATATAGGTCCTGCTATGATAATATTGATGTTTCTATTAGACAAATTCTTATTTGAAAGTCTACTCTTAAAATTTATTTCAAAGAACAAGGTAGCCCAAGTATAATGCTAGATTTAGGAGATTCCAACAACCAGCTTAAAGTCCAACTCTTTTGCACTCTTAAGCCAGCATCTTTGAATGTGAATACTTTCTGCTGCATTATGTTTAAATTTATATAAAACACTGTTAGATGTTCTGTTGAACTTCATTGTAAAATGCAGGTTCATTGATCACTACACCTCCTGTCTTGCTGTATGACTTTCATGGGGGTGACTCAGATGGATGACAAATAAGCTAGTCAGTCATCTAGGTGTGGACATGCAGGAGTCTGGGTGCTCAGATCCAGTTAGTGGGTTATTTGACATTTCATCACCATCAACCCATGGAGCCTGAGATTGTGAAAGTAGCTTGTGGGCAGATGAATTTTCCAGCAATTCTGCTGGAATAGAGGGTCCCTGGTGACAAGGCAGGGCTGGATCCAAACCCTGTACTTGGTCTGTAACATACTATACTATTTTTCTAAGACTCCTCTCTTATTTGCTTGGTTAATCCACATAATCCATAATCATAAAGGAAAATTTCAGGAATATTATCAAATGTTATTTACAGTGGTGGGGGGAGGAAGAGAAAGAGAGGTATGGAATTAGAATGTTTTAAGGCAAGTTTAGTCATCTCTTTTTTTCCCCCCCCTCAGACTTTAGTATTGATGCTCCTCCATCCTTTAAACCAGCCAAGAAGTATTCTGATGTTTCGGGTCTTCTTGTGAGTATAATTATATCTCTATTTATTATAACATTAAATTGAAGAAGATTTCAGAGTAATGTCCAGACTGTGTTCAATATCCACCACCAATGATTCCACCTACAGCCCAGGTACTATGAATAGGTAATAGGTTTGTGCAAGGCATCCATTCTGCAATCTGGGACAGCTATGTGGGCATCCCAGAGGGAGGATTGTTCTAGAAATCAGGAGACATGAGTTTTACTTCCTTTTTCTTGGATAGTTAACTATTTGGAACAATATGAAAGAAACAATTACCTTTTTAACTGCCAAAGTTTCAAAAATCTGCATTTTAGATGATTATACTTAAAACAAAATATTTAGGGCTGAAGGTGTAGGTCGGTCATAGAATGATGGCTTCACATGCTTTAGACCCTGGGTTTGATCTCTAGCATTGGGGAAAAAAAAAGTAAATGTTTCCACGGAAGCACTGTGATTTCCATACTTAAGCACCAGACCCCCCTTTTTTTTTCTCCAAATAAAATCATAAGATAATCCATATATCTAAAAGGGCTAGAGTCCTTCTTAGCCATTGAGGTCTCCTGGTCCTTTTCCTCCTCCCTACCCCCATCCTGATGACCCCCTCAACTGCTTCTATGGAACAAAGTTTGGGAACCACTAGTGGAGCTGGAAGTAGGAATTGGGGAAGTGGGAATTGGGCAAGTTACTGAAACTCAGAAACTGAAAAGAGCCCTATTTCCTTATTTGCAGAATGTAGAGCAAGTGGGGTACTTGTAAAGACATCTTCCCCTCACCTTCTTAATCTGTTTTTCATATCCTATGAATTTGTAAGATGGGCTTTTTCTCATAACTATAGAAATAAAACCTGCTGTTTTTTAAACCTGTCTCTTAAATCCTTATATTTTAATGAAAATGTGTGATCCCCAAATTCTATAACAAATTGACCAAATTAGTTATATACATTATATAAAGAAGAATTGTCTCCTTCTTATATCCTTTTTTGGGGGAATTGCCTTTTTATATATATCCTTCTTTATTCCTGATCATTTTCATTGTTCCAAACTCATTTTCATTTGTTTGCCATTAGTGCTGTATATGCTATAGTTTGGATATAATTTGTCCCCCAAAAGTTCATGTACTGTAAAGCTTGGTCTCCAGTGTGGCTTGAGCTCCTGCTTCCTGCCTGGTAGTCAGGAAATGGTCATGGCAGAGGGAGTTGGTATGATCCTAGATCTCATCTTATAGGCTTCTTTTTTTTTTTAATAGGCTTCTTCTTTTTTTTTTTTTTTTTCATCCACTGTAATCTTGTACTACCTCTTATCTCTTTCTCAAAAATAGCTGCTTCATATTTTTTTAACCATCTTAATAGTTGTTTGTGGCAGGAGAACTAGTCTGGCACCAGTTATTCTGTTATGGCCCAAAGTGGAAATCTCTTGCTGTGTCAATTCAAGCTTTTGGAAGCCAGACCCCTTAGAATGTCAGCTTTATCCTCACCATTTTGGGCAGTTCATTTACTAGTATAATGATTTTCACCTGTTAGGAGGTATGAGCGCTATTTTGAGAAACATTATTCCAGGTCTCTTTTTGCCATTGGTGAAGTCTTGCTGTGTTACACAGTACTTAAAACCTCTTCCCCCACTTCTTTGTGAGAATTAAAACATTCTGGATATACAAAAAAATCAAATCATTGAAAGACAGTTCCATAGGAAAATGGGCAAAAGAATAAGAATTAGAAATTATAGTAGAAGAATGTAGATGACTAATAAGTAAGCATTTGTCTGGTAATTATAAAAAGGACTCATTCTACAGGGAAGAAATTAAAGACCTTTTTTTTTCCCCCCCTGTACTGGAGATTGAACCCAAGGATGCTTTACCATTGATTCACATCCTCAGCCCTTTTTATTTATTTTAAGTCAGGGTCTCACTGAGTTGCTTAGGACCTTGCTAAGTTACTAAAGCTGGTCTGGAACTTGCAATCCTCCTTCTACCTTCCCAAGTTGTGTGCCACTATGCCTGGCAAGAAATTAAGATGTTTGATTACATATTTTGGCCCCAACATAAGGAAGTGGATATTCTCATACATTGCTGTTTTCAGGTGGGAATGTGCATTAATACAGCTTCTTGAAATGACAATTTGGCATTTCTCTTATAACAGAAAAGCAAATGAATAATCCAGCAATTTGCCTTCTAGGCAGTTGTCTAGAGAAATAGGTGCACAAGGAGCTTTATGCAGAAATACTTATGGAAACTGTGTTAGCAAAATGTTGGAAACAACAGAAAGCTCTATCACAGGGTATATTGTCACATTGTTCTGTGAGCTTGATGCATATCAACATGCTTAAAGTTCTAGGATGCAAAACAGCATAAGCAGCTTGTTGCTGTTACATAAAAATCAGCATACAGTGTGCACTTCTGCAGCATATATGCCAAAATTAGAATGATATAGAGATGATTAGCACAGCCCCTGTGCAAGGATGACGTGCAAATTCACGAAGTGTTCCATTTTTTAAATTCTTATTTTTTACTATGCCAAGTTTAGTTTTTCTTCCATAGGATTTCATACAAAACAGGAATAAGCAAATTATGGCCTACATGGCAGATTTATTTATTTTTTATTTTACTGTGGTCCATGAGTATCTTTGTTGTTATTGGTTATAATTTCTTTATAGTTGTTGTGTGGTTCTTAGTATTCATGTGACTTAAACTGTGTCTTTAAGTAGCATTATACCATTTTATATATAAGAACCTTGTAGGGGTATACTTGTGTTTATTTCTTTCCAGTACCATGCTTGTTGTATAGTTTACTCCTACATGTTACAAACCCCACAAAAACTTGTTATTATCTTGCTCCAAGTGGTCAACACATTTTTAAAGAATTTGAAAATAAGAAAAAATAAATCTTTACTCATCCACAAAAATAACACATTCACAAAAAAATACATGTTGACTAATTTCTCTGTTGTTTATGTGTTAAGGGTATAAATAAAAACTTCTGGAAGAGTGCCCACCTAGCGGTGGTTTCCTCAGGGGAAAGCAAGGACTTGTGGGTGGAAGGCAATGGTAAAGGGAGACTTTAGTCTTACTTGTACTGTTTTATTTTTTTTTCCAGAGGAGAACATGGTTCACTTATTATTTGTATAATTTAAAGTTACATAATTAAAAACTAAAGCCTAACTCATATTTACAGTGACACACCTGTCCTCAGCCAGCCACATGACTGTTTCCTCTGCACTTGGGCATGGCAAGAAGACATGTGGGAAGTCACATCTGTGTTTAGCCCTTATTACAAAGCTATGGAAAATGTTAAGACTCTAGGTGAGATGGGGAAGCTGTGAGCACTGCCTGTAACTCTTTGCTTGTCACCCTGCAGCAAGGGGGACTAAAGCTGATTGCCATTTAGGAACATGACCTCTGTTTGTTGCATCCAGGCTCAAGGGACAGGATGCAGAGGCAGGTAGACTATGGAGATGAGCTTCCTCACTTGTTCATCTCTGGGGTGTTGCTTGGCATCCTTCCTTGTGTTCAAAATGCAGGATGCTGACTCCTGGGTCAGGCCCATACTGTTCCAGTTTTTGTCGGTGCCACAGGATCTCCGTATCCCACATTGTTTCTTCAGCAGCCTTCTTGGCAGTAAGGTCTGAACTTGGGTAGCTTAACTAACACAGATCGGTGTAAGGAGAGAGGCATCCATGCAGTGGAGCCAAACTGAGGCCAGCTCATATATGGAGGCCAGGTGGTCCTCACCAGATGACATGCCTGCACCCTGCTCAGAGCTTCAGATAGTCTTCCCCTGCCAGATAGTTAATCTAACTGCCTCAGGGCCATGAGCCCTCGAAAGAGACTTGTCACTGTTTTTCTAATTAAGTTTTCCCTTATAGTACTATCATTAAAGGAAATGTAGTACAGAAAGGCACTATTTAGATCAAGCAAGAGGATCAAAGTTTTATTTTATATAGAGCTTTAATTAATCTTTACTTTTTGGGAATACATCCCACTTTCCTGACACACAGCAGCTAAATACTGTAGGGAGATGCCAGGTGGCGGGAGTGAGAACATGAGAAACCTATGACTCAGTTCCTTTCGGCTTGTTGCCTCTTCTCTGAAGTCTTCCCCCTCATCAAGCCACAAAATTACTAAGAGTCTAGGTCCATACACACATGACAGCAGTGGAGCAGACAGTCCACCCTTGAATAATTGGACATTATCTGTCTAGACTTTAATGCCATCTTTTATAATTTTTTAAATGGAGCTTAAAATTACTCATTTTTAAAATAAAATCTATAGAAGCCATGCTCTTTGAGATATATAGTAAGCAAATTATTTTGTCTGCTTGCACATGGGAAAAACAGACTGAAAGAGAATTTTGATATGTCTAGGAAACAAGTACTCTTTTCTTTTGTGATGGTCCTGATTGTCTGTTTCTTTGTCATTCATTCAGTCAGTCATTCAGTATATAACCACTGATGGCTCCCTGTGCTCTCTGCATTGCACAGGAACTGGTCTACAATGATAAGCCAGCCAGCTTACTTCTACCTTGTGGAGCCTCACAGCCTAAACCTTAATCAGAGAGTATGTAAATAGTAGACTTCAAAGCAGCAGAGATAAGCATTGCCCAGGAGAGCTCCACAGTGCTATGAATATGACCCTCTGCAGAGGCACTGATAAACCTTCCTTGAAGCTGTGACTCACCTTCAAGTGGCAGGAGGGATGAGGGTGCACGGGAGCAGCGCCTGCCTTGAGGAGCACAGACCTGGGGCACTTACTGGAAGGGGTGGGTGTTGGAAGGCAGGGATTGATGACCATCATGAATTCAGTTTTGGAATTGTTGCTTGCAGCCCTTGAGGGACCAAGAAGAAGGGTCCTAGAATAGGATGTGGTTGTTCTTTCTGTCTGTTCCCTGAAGTGTTTCTCAAGTCTGAGGAGATTAATGAGTCTTTGCCAAAGTGAGCAATGTAGTGTTCTTGGTGACAGTAAAACATAATGCAGATATATTTTGCTTTTTGTAAAGTAGAAAAAAATGTTAAAACTTGTGCTTGAACTTGAAACACCACAACCAAAACCTTTGTCCTTCACTGTGCCCATATCTCACGCAGGCCAACTACACAGACCCCCAGAGCAAGCTGCGGTTCAGTACTATTGAAGAATTTTCCTATATTAGAAGGCTGCCATCTGATGTCATCACTGGCTACCTGGCTCTAAGGAAGGCCACGAGCATTGTTCCCTGAGCCTGAGCAGTGGAGATGAAGTGGGAACTGTTTCAAAGGCAGACTTTGGGCTCATGATTTTGTTTCATGGAAACAAACTCATTCTGCTGTCAATCTCAAAATGTCAATGCTGTGCCTTGGAAAGAATGTTTGGCTTTAATTTAAGGGTTTTTAAAATTTTTTTATTTCTCTGTTTTCCCTCCAAGTGTGATATTTCCTGTTGAATTAAATTATATTTCAGTTGTTGCCTCAAGTAAAATTGTTTGACAAGAAAATACAATAAAATTGTGCTTTTAATTTAACCCAAGTAAGTTCCATATTTTTATTTCTAAGCTGTGAACTCTTGTCTAACATTTAAAGATTCTGCAGTGAATCCACAACAGATTTGAATTATTCTTGATCCCAGTGACTCTCCTTTTAGAGCACGTTACCCTTTCTCTTGGATTAGAATGATTGGAAGATTGGAAGAAGTCCAAAATTTGGAATGAAGAAGAAAGAGCTGTGTGCCCCATCCTGTCACACTGGACCAGTCCTTTGCCCTGTGCCTCAGCCTCTCCTTGTCCCCGGACACATGGGAACCAACACTGATGCTCCCTGTCTAAGAATAATCTTGTCTTGGTGGAGGATGCTGCCCCTTGGGCTGCAGCCTGCTCCAGGAAGTTGGCATGTGCTTCCCTGTTCTACAAGGAGAGGAAACATTTCCTTGGACTGGGAAAAGGAGTCTGGAGACATGCCTGGCTTTGCTGAGCCCTATTGCCAGTTGTCATATTTCTGTAGGATAGGTGGTAGTACCAGGCCTTGGATCTTCTGGGCCAGGGCCGCCTCTACTTTAGAGGTTTGGACACCCAGATGTCCTTTCTGGGGACAGCCCCTCCTACAACCCACCCCAGGCATAGAGAAAAGAAAAAACAAAGCCTCATCAACTGGGAGAGCAACCTGCTAGCTGGTAGCAACTACCTAAAACTTGACTTTCCTCCTACCAGGTATGGTAGCCCCAATGCCCTTCAGTACCTTCTCACAGTGGTACTCTTCCCCATAACAAGAGACCTAGGTGACTAGGAAAGGAGGGAGCTTTCCTCAGTCCATGGTCACCAAGCATTTGAGCCTCTGGTGCCAGGGTTCTCAAACCACAGCCACATCAGAGTCACCTGAGGGCTTCTGAGGGCTTTATAATAAGAGATGTTGTGAGGTATGCTCTGATGGTGAAATTGAAGTGTCTGAAAAGTCAGAGGCTGCTGCCTGGCTCCTACACTGGCCTTCACACTTCCTGCCTTCAGGAAACACCCCAGCTTCCTTTTCAATGGAGAACAGTTAGTCAAGGACACTTCCTGCTTCTGCTTCCATTTTCTATTATGTAGAGTAAACTTGGGGTCAGTCCATGTCTTTTCCTTGAAGACCCTCCCACCAAATGGGCATTTCCATTCAATACTGATGCTAGATGCTGCCTCAGTCCTACCTATTCAGGCTCTCTAGGGGTAAGTGAGGGATTAAAGAGAGAAGCCCTGCCCTGCACATGTCCTCTGAGAGGACCTGCAGGCTGTTGCTTTCATGGGCCTCAGTGTTTCTGGGTGTGTTTTCCATGAACCCTCTGAGTCAAGTGGGGGACTGCTAAAATGCAGTCTCCTGATTCACATTTGAGACCCTTCTGGCAGACTCAGGGAGTGAGGCTCAGAAATCTGCATTTAAAAAGTGTGGTTATAATACACACAGGAGTTTGAGAATCACTACCTTCCACAGGCAGAACACAAGATTGTGGACTGGAAAATTTGGTCCTATCTTTCCTATTCCTCTGCTAGGTTTTCCCCATGGGCCTCTTTGCTGAAGAGCTGTGAGTTCCAAAGTTCAGGTCATTTCTCACCCCAATCTCCAGAAGTTCAAGCTGAGCCAAACCAAACATCAAACTGTGAATATTTTCAATGAGTCCTATAGGTTTAGAATGGGCAGGTAATCAATCCAGTGCTGAAATAGCCCTTGCCATCCATGTGGTGGCCCAGCCCTGGCTATGTGCAAAAATCGTTTGTGTGTGACTCACTTTCTCCATTTCTTTTTCTATATTTTTAATTTTGTTCTAAAGCAGGAACTAGAACCAAATAAAATTAAAGCATTGTTTTGGTTTGATTGGTTTAATATTCTTCAAAGAGCTGAGGATGACTCACAGACTGTCCCCCTTTTATTAGTAATTAAACTGCGATTACTGAAAGATCATAACAGCTCATAATAGCTGATTAAATACCAAGGCTATACCTCACTGAATAACACTCCTAAATTTAAACTGATATTGTTTAATATTGCTCTCAGATAATTT